ATTGTTTACTGATAAAAATGACCAATAGAAACCTTAGCGTTAACAAAAGTGTTTGCTTGGTTCGGATTTTCACGCAAAACTATACAAGGGCTATATGCGCCAGCCCTTCCTAATTTTGAATTGATTTACTTGAGGAAAAACTGCTAGTCAACAGCATCCACCGTCATTTTTGGGCTACTCTAATCAAACAGTGAGATTGGACTGTCACTATTATAACACAACCGCGGCCCTAAAGTGTGAAGCACAGTTTTTATTTTCGTCGCTCGTTTTTGCGTTAACGAAACTCGAGCCATGGGAACCTTGGAGACATAGTCCGGCACGCTAACCACTGGGCCAAGTCTGGCCCCTGTTGTTAACGGTAACAGCAACAGATAGCAGCCTTATACTTAGAATAATAACCTACTATATCTAATTAAGAAATGTTTGTTTGTTTGTAATTAAGCACAAAGCTACACAATGGGCTATCTGTGCTCTGCCCACCACGGGTATCGAAACCCGGATTCTAGCGTTGTAAGTCCGCACTCATACCGCTGTGCTACTGGGGGAGGCAATTAAGAAATGAGCCCAGGAATGAACTGATTCAAACCATAATAAAAATAGTTATAAGCCCCACATTTATAGATCAAAATTAAAAACTTTTGTGGCAATGGGGTCATATTTCAGTAACTGAATAGGCTCTTCTCGTGTCAATTAAGACAGACTCGAGCTCATTAAGAGAAAAAATATTCTTAGTTTAAACAGACTACCAAACTTGAATCTAAACAACTAAATCAGAAGATATTATTATTTCCCATAACTGAACAGCGTTGCAATAACGCCTGATTCCTCACGCCACGCGTGCAGCCCCCTAGAGGTAAACATGAGACTTCCTGCATCCTAAAAAAATTATTCATAAGAGCAGTTAATAATGACAGCAAACGCCACACCAGCCCCGTTGTTTGCAAAAACTTATCGCTTATACAAAGTGTTTACAGTACTTTAAAACAATGAAATATTTATTTGAACTGGTGTTGATTTGGAAATGACAACTTACTTATCTGTCAATTTTATTTTGGTTTAATGAATTATATTTCCCACGTATAATAACGTTTTATGTCTAGTCTTTTGAAAGAAAATTAAGAAAAACCTTGTTCCAACACGTAAATTGTGAAGGAATCAAGAATTATTTGAGTTTTTTTTTCTTCTTCGGATAATCGCTCAAAGATACTCAAGAAGTATTTGAACTAATATACTAGCGGATAAGCAACTAGTCAGTGACATCCATCACCAATTCGTAGTGTATTCTTGTGTAATTTGACCGTCACACATGACCCCAAGTACGGAGCATAATTATGCAGACCCATATCCTGGTACGCTGACCACTGGGCCACGTTCAGATCAGCGAGCATTTATTAAGAATTGATTATCTACACAAACTATTCGCATATTTACTGTTCATTTTTGTTTCCAGATTCTTTCGTTACTTTGGAGAGAAGTATGTTTTCCTTTGACTAGAAATAGACTCTGTTCAGATGGAACAGGAAGGATTTCTTAGGTTTTTTTTAATTTTTATAATTATTCAGTATTTCCTAGCGTGTTTTGCGTTATCCTTCGTCAGTCGATCTGACCCAGTTCTACTAAAATATACTCCGTGTATTCGTTGAACCTGCGACCCTCAGATTGCGAGTCAAGTGCCCTAACCACCTAGACATGCACAAAATAACAAAATACTGATTAAACATAGAGAAATATTTGGGATAAAGTTAACCAATTAAGAGATCAGATAACAAGCACTTTTATCAATCATGTTAACAATGTAATAATATTCAAAGTACAGATTATGCGTTAAATGAAATTGAAAAGAAAGTTTTAGTATGTAGTTTCAAATTTTCTATTCCGATTCTGCAACTGAAATTTGAGACTTTCCTTTTGGCTATTGAACCATTATTATATACAAGTTTCCAAACATGCCATACAATCTGGTTGTGGTTTATAATTTAATAATATTAGAACGTAAATATGTAGGAGAGATTTTTGGAATCTTAGAATTCTGAATATTAATGTGCAACCACAGTGAAGAAGAGTTAGTGGTCATAAACAAGATTAAGCAGCTATCATGAAACCTGATAAAGAAACTAGTATAGTCAGATTAAGTAAAGCAGATTATAATTCTAAAATGTAGAATATTTTGAATGATACCACAAAATTTGTTAAGTTGATAACAAGTCCTAACAAAAAACAAAATAAGGAAAACAAATAACATAATTATTTATTGAAAGTTAAAAGATATAGTTACTGACCATAAAATAATATTTTAGTTAGCTTGTTTTAAAGCAAAATCACATTAGGCTATCTGCCCTGTCCACCGCTGAGAATCAAACCCCGG